CATGAGGGAAAAGGGATTGGGAAAAAAGAGAAAATTGGGATTTTCCAGGAAAATTTTCCCATTTCCCATTGAGGGGATCCCAATGACCATGAGGGAAAATTGGGATTTTTCAGGAAAATTTCCTCATTTCCCATTGAGGGGATCCCAAAAATCATGAGGGAAAAGGGATTGGGGAAAAGAGAAAATTGGGATTTTTCAGGAAAATTTCCCCATTTCCCATTGAGGGGATCCCAATGATCATGAGGGAAAAGAGGGAAAATTGGGATTTTTTAGGAATTTCGGCCTCTTTTCCCATTCCCGTTTTCTGGTGGCACAGGTGAGGAAATCCCAAAAACCATGAGGGAAAAAGGATTGGGAAAAAAGAGAAAATTGGGATTTTCCAGGAAAATTTCCCCATTTCCCATTGAGGGGATCCCAAAGATTATGAGGGAAAAAAGATTGGGAAAAAGAGAAAATTGGGATTTTTCAGGAATTCCAACCCTTTTCCCATTCCCATTTTCTGGCACAGGTGAGGAGATCCCAAAAACCATGAGGGAAAAAGGGTTGGAAAAAAAGAAAATTGGGATTTTTCAGGAATTCCAACCCTTTTCCCATTCCCATTTTCTGGTGAGGAAATCCCAAAGATCATGAGGGAAAAAGGATTGGGAAAAAAGAGAAAATTGGGATTTTCCAGGAAAATTTTCCCATTGAGGGGATCCCAATGACCATGAGGGGAAAAAAGAGAAAATTGGGATTTTCCAGGAATTTCAGCCCCTTTTCCCATTCCCATTTTCTGGCACGGGTGAGGGAAAAAGAATGCGGGGAAAAAAGAGAAAATTGGGATTTTCCAGGAAAATTTCCCCATTTCCCATTGAGGGGATCCCAATGACCATGAGGGAAAAGAGGGAAAATTGGGATTTTTTAGGAATTCCAACCATTTTCCCATTCCCATTTTCTGGTGAGGAAATCCCAAAAACCATGAGGGAAAAAGGATTGGGAAAAAAGAGAAAATTGGGATTTTCCAGGAAAATTTTCCCATTTCCCTTTGAGGGGATCCCAAAGATTATGAGGGAAAAGGGATTGGGGGAAAAGAGAAAATTGGGATTTTTTTAGGAATTTCAGCCTCTTTTCCCATTCCCATTTTCTGGTGGCACAGGTGAGGAAATCCCAAAAACCATGAGGGAAAAAGGATTAGGAAAAGAGAAAATTGGGATTTTCCAGGAAAATTTCCCCATTTCCAATTGAGGGGATCCCAATGACCATGAGGGAAAATTGGGATTTTTCAGGAATTTCAGCCCCTTTTCCCATTCCCATTTTCTGGTGAGGGGATCCCAATGATCATGAGGGGAAAAAAGAGAAAATTGGGATTTTCCAGGAAAATTTCCCCATTTCCCATTGAGGGGATCCCAATGATCATGAGGGAAAAGAGGGAAAATTGGGATTTTTTAGGAATTCCAACCCTTTTCCCATTCCCATTTTCTGGTGAGGGGATCCCAAAGATCATGAGGGAAAAAGAGGGAAAATTGGGATTTTCCAGGAAAATTTCCCCATTTCCCTTTGAGGGGATCCCAATGACCATGAGGGAAAAGGGATTGGGAAAAAGAGAAAATTGGGATTTTTTAGGAAAATTTCCCCATTTCCCATTGAGGGGATCCCAATGACCATGAGGGAAAATGGATTGGGAAAAAAGAGAAAATTGGGATTTTTCAGGAATTCCAACCCTTTTCCCATTCCCATTTTCTGGCACAGGTGAAGGAAAAGAATGGGGGAAAAAAGAGAAAATTGGNAGGAAAATTTTCCCATTTCCCATTGAGGGGATCCCAATGACCATGAGGGAAAAGAGGAAAAATTGGGATTTTTCAGGAATTCCAACCCTTTTTCCCATTCCCATTTTCAGGTGAGGGGATCCCAATGACCATGAGGGAAAAGGGATTGGGGAAAAAGAGAAAATTGGGATTTTTCAGGAATTCCAACCCTTTTCCCATTCCCATTTTCTGGTGAGGGGATCCCAAAGATCATGAGGGAAAAGGGATTGGGAAAAAAGAGAAAATTGGGATTTTCCAGGAAAATTTCCCCATTTCCCATTGAGGGGATCCCAAAAACCATGAGGGAAAAGAGGGAAAATTGGGATTTTTCAGGAATTCCAACCATTTTCCCATTCCCATTTTCTGGTGAGGGGATCCCAAAGATCATGAGGGGAAAAAGAGAAAATTGGGATTTTCCAGGAAAATTTTCCCATTTCCCATTGAGGAAATCCCAAAAACCATGAGGGAAAAGGGATTGGGAAAAGAGAAAATTGGGATTTTCCAGGAAAATTTTCCCATTGAGGGGATCCCAATGACCATGAGGGAAAATTGGGATTTTTCAGGAATTTCAGCCCCTTTTCCCATTCCCATTTTCTGGTGAGGGGATCCCAAAGATCATGAGGGGAAAAGAGGGAAAATTGGGATTTTTCAGGAATTTCAGCCTCTTTTCCCATTCCCGTTTTCTGGTGGCACAGGTGAGGAAATCCCAAAAACCATGAGGGAAAAATGATTGGGAAAAGAGAAAATTGGGATTTTTCAAGAAATTCCAACCCTTTTCCCATTCCCATTTTCTGGTGAGGGGATCCCAAAGATCATGAGGGAAAAGGGATTGGGGAAAAAGAGAAAATTGGGATTTTCCAGGAAAATTTTCCCATTTCCCTTTGAGGGGATCCCAATGACCATGAGGGAAAATTGGGATTTTTCAGGAAAATTTCCTCATTTCCCATTGAAGGGATCCCAAAGATCATGAGGGAAAAGAGGGAAAATTGGGATTTTTTAGGAATTCCAACCCTTTTCCCATTCCTGTGTTCAGGTGAGGGGATCCCAAAAACCATGAGGGAAAAAGGATTGGGAAAAAAGAGAAAATTGGGATTTTTTTAGGAATTCCAACCATTTTCCCATTCCCATGTTCTGGTGAGGGGATCCCAAAGATCATGAGGGAAAAGAGGGAAAATTGGGATTTTTTAGGAATTTCAGTCTCTTTTTCCATTCCCATTTTCTGGTGAGGGGATCCCAAAGTTCATGAGGGGAAAAGAGAAAATTGGGATTTTCCAGGAAAATTTCCTCATTTCCCATTGAGGGGATCCCAAAGATTATGAGGGAAAAGGGATTGGGGAAAAGAGAAAATTGGGATTTTTCAGGAAAATTTCCCCATTTCCCTTTGAGGGGATCCCAATGACCATGAGGGAAAATTGGGATTTTTTTAGGAATTTCAGACCCTTTTCCCATTCCCATTTTCTGGTGAGGGGATCCCAAAGATTATGAGGGAAAAGGGATTGGGGAAAAAGAGAAAATTGGGATTTTCCAGGAAAATTTCCCCATTTCCCATTGAGGGGATCCCAAAGATCATGAGGGAAAAGAGGGAAAATTGGGATTTTTCAGGAATTCCAA